CTCAAGAATAACAATAATCCAACTCAATTATGATTGTTCTTTTGTTCTGGTACTGGGACATGAACTCAAGGTCAGGGCACTGTCCTTTTTTGCATTTTTGTTCAAGGCTGGCGCTCTACTGTTAAATCACAATTCTACTTCCAGATTTTTGAGTTAATTGAAGATAAGTGGGTTATGAAGTTTTCTACCCAAGTTGGCCAGAATCTTGATCCCCACATCTCAGTCTCCCGAGTAGCCAGGATCTCTGTTGTGAGAACTGGTGCTCAATTTTTCAAATATACTTTTGGCTTTTGTTAACCAAAATAACAGAGTTCCTTAAACATTCCTGCATAACTCAGAAATCACACTTTTTAATATAAAATAAAATTATAGTTTTAAATTATTCATCTATTAATTATTTTATAATATTTTATATTATTTTAGAATTTATTGTATCAACTATAACTGTAAAATAAGCATATTTATTTTATATTTCCTTTGTAACATTTTCTTTTATGTTAGATAAGTAGGTGAAGATAACTATTCTCTAATACTGTTTTCTTCTTTGAAAGTTTCTAGAACTCTATTCCTTATTCGTAAAATTAACTTTAGTACTATCATCTACCACACAAGGTTGTTGAAATAAAAATATTTTCTGCCAAAATATCAGTCATACACACACAGTATCCCTATTATATATTTATATGTATTTATATTTGTATGTATAAACATACAGTATGTATGTATGTATATGTTTGTATGTGTATCTTAAGATATGTGACTATATACATATTCCATATTTATAATCATCTATCATTTAATTGAAGATAATTATAGTATCTTAACAATAATAATGAAAATAAAACAATGACTATTGTCATTCAGATCTCATTTGTACTAACTTTTAAAGGGCAAGTATATGTCTAGACTAATGAGATCACTTAAAATACTTTAGAAAGCTTTCAACCAAAAACACGTAATATTGATTATTCTTAAGTAGTAAAATAAAGGGCAGGGTTAAGAAAGGAATTAAGACTATGCTTGAAAAAATATCCTTCTACTTGTGGTAAGAATTATAAACAACAAAAAAAGCAAAAAATAAAAATAACCAGGACTAAGAAAGCCTGAGAAGAGGTAGGAACTGAGATGCAAAGACAGGTAATAAATTTCTACAGAAGTAGAGTTAGAAATCACTATGATTTCATCTTTCAAATGTCAACCTGAAATATTGATCTCACAAATTTTATCTTAAAATGACTTGTGCACATTTCAATCACTTTTATTCCCTCTTTTTGAATATATACCTAAGATATATTCATGATTTTTAACTTGGGGTGTTCAGATGCATTACTTCCTGATGAAATACATCCACAGTACTTTCTGGTGATAATTGGGCCCCATGCTTTCTACTCAGGCTCTTTGCCCCTTTAGCCATGCCAGTAGCCTATTCCCAATTTTTTTCTACAAGCATCACATTCTATTTTCTCATGTGCTTTGATGTCATATAATCAAGCCACACTAGATGAGGACAACCAAGTTAAGATTTACAAAGAAGTGTCCATGTATCTGTAAAGTCTATAGTAAGATGGTTCAGAGAAACTGCATGAAACTCTTTAGTAGTCATATTCCCTACGAATGATGCTTTTAAGAAGTTATTGAACAATTTTCTTTAAAGAAATACATAGTAAAATGGATTTTGTAGGAGAAGTAATAGCCTTTAAAATTAATCAAATAGTAAGAATCACATGTTCATACCATAAAAGTTCTGTAACTAGGAAGGACCCATTAGTTGCTCATCAAAGAATGAAAGTGCAAAATTTGTCCAAAGGCCACTTAATCAAAAATTCTCTTAAAACATATTTATGAATAGCCTTGCTGAGTTTCTAACTACAGCAAATACTAGCAGTCCTTATTTGCTTTCACTCCAGTGTAACTCTCCAAGACTGAAGTTTTGGAGAGCAGCCTCTGTTCTTTCACACTATGTGCTGGGAAGACCCAGGAACTGATGTCTTTTGGCAGCATTCATTAATTTTATATATCCCAGCTCATATTCTCCTTGAAACTAGGAGATGTTGTGCATTCCAATTCATGCACTCTAATCTGGTACTCAGAATCACCCAGGGATAAGCTCTACTCACTAAGACCAGCAAACTGCTTAACTATTCATTATTTTCCTCATTTCACATCCAACATTCCTCTTACAGCATTTCTTACAGTTACTTTCCAAATAAACCATATGGACGTAAATTATGCAAGCACTTCTATGTTTGGTGGTAAGTATGGAAGAAGAATTGTAGAGCTATTGTTTAAATAGACACACACACGCACACACACACACACACACACACACACACACACACACACACACACACACGAATGGATTCTAGGCCTCTGGGCGGAATGGGGTTATTTTCACCAAGCAATCTACCAGTAAGAGTTGATCAAGAGTTGCAGGGGACCTATATTTCTTTCTAGGTCCCATGGTTTTCCTTATTTGCAATAATTGTATATGTCTAGGACAAGCAGAGAAGGTCAAAAGCTGTGTACATATGCCTATATAAGATGATGCTAAGTGAAATGGACCCCAAGATAGGGACACAAGTGGTTTTATCTCTCTTGTTTTTAATGTATTTATAATGTACTATGCGATTTTGTTGTTGTACGTTCTTCCCCCATTGTATATAACCCCTGTTTTCACTGTATTTGATTCTGGTGCCCTACATCTTGTGTGTGTGTGTGTGTGTATACATATATGTATATATATATGTATATATACATATTTATATATACATATATATACATATATATTTATATATACATGTATATATATTTATATATACATATATGTATATATTTATATATACATATATATATGTATATGTTTTTTTTAATTTGGGGAGGGGAAGGGAAATAACAAAATGCTCAAATAAGGATTCAGGTTGACCCATTGCAACAATGAGATGTACAAGGTACTAAGTTGAAAATGAACTTTACAAACTGAGGGCAGGGAGGGAGGGAGGAGTTGGGGAAGTGGGAAGGGAAGGGATGGTAGGGGAAAAAACAAAGGAGGAAGTATCAATGCTTGACAGGAAATGTACTCATTACCTTACTTATGTAACCTCTGTACAGTAGCTTTACAAAAAAATACAAAAAAAAGAGTTGCAAGGGAATGTAGAAATAGTATAAGATAGAAAAGATAAAAATAAATTATTTTGACTTTAAAAGATGATTATCCTGAATATAATGTTGTTTCCTTGTTTGTTAAGAAGTGTGTAATCTCCATTTTTTAAATAGCTGATTGGATAGACACTCACTACTCCTCACAGCTAGCATCTACAATGGTTTGTTTCAATACGCCCTCTTGGAGCGAGAGGCTGCCTAAACCAAGGAAACAATGGCACCCAGTAACCCAGGGTCTTTGGTTTTGAGTAAGGATAATTCTGAAATGATTGTGCTATATTGCTTCCAGTATATCTCATCCATTTTGAGTCCCTTATATTAAATTAAGATTCATTACTTGGCTTTGCTTTTCCTCTGCCTCGATCCTCTTAATTAGAAACATCTCTTGTGATCACCTCTAAAATTAACTACTTATGTCTGAACCCACAACTGAGGTTTATTTCTGAAGAAGCCACAGAAAGACAGTAGCCATATTTAGTATCTGCTGGTTTTAAATAGACCCTTCTAAATCTGCCAAGTTTGTATTTATGTAAAGTGTGTGAGCTCTTCTTGTTTGCTATAACAAAATATTTTAACAGTGACTCCAATGTTCTTTAAGTTAATATAATTATGCACAAATCAAACTAAATAAATATCTTCTCTGATCATCATTGCATTTCACTTGTTTGTGTCTAAGTAAGCAGCAAACAAAAAATATAAAATGAGCCTGTAAATTCAGGCTGACCCAAACCAGAGACTTTATACAATATCAAATATTACTAAATAATGTGAAGATCACAGACAGATTAAAAAAATATCTATGGTTCACAGGAAGCAGGGTTCAGAACGAGGAAGAAGCAAAGCACCCCAGTTCTTTTATTTTCATTTCAGCCACATTCCTCTGGCCTCTATGAAATCTCACAAAGAGTTCCACTTGACTGCTTGTAAATTTATTTAAATCTTGTGAAGGATATTATATGGTGTGCAAAACATTATCTAGGGAATATTTTCTATAGGTACATTATGTCCAGGCACATTCTACTAATAGGATCTTAGGGATAAACTCTTTCTCTTAATAAATATCATGAATCTAGTTACCCAGAGCTTTAGTTGACATTGGATTGTTCCAGGTTTCCTGCCTCTTCTGCCATGGATAACATCTTTCCATGGGTGTTGCAGATTAACTACTTTGACTTTTTTCTTCCCCAAGTGGTTTCAGAGCCAGATCCAATATGATTCACTCATTTCAAAATGACCTCACCACCAATTCCTGTTTTCCTGCCCATGTCCCCGGAATATGAAATATTTTGTCCAAATTCTATAAATTCAAACGTCACATCGTAACAATCATTTGTGGTTTCTCATTTGCTTCAGATTTCAGTAGTTTTAAAGAATCATTGAAATATGTATAAAAGACTTGATGTTTCCAAATTATCTGTTTCAATTATCTGTTGGTTGTTGTGTTGGTAAGAGAAATAAACGATAAAAATCATGCACTTTGGACATTTGTCCAAGGCAAAAGCAAGCATCACACAGAAGAGAAAACTGCCATCTATTTTTATGTCCAGCATACTACCTCCTAAAGGGGCTCAAGTTACCATTTTACAATCCTCTGAGTGAAGGAGACTAGGAGGAATGCTATTTACTCAAATTCATTTTATCAGCTGCATCTCTCACAGGTTAGGAAACAAAAAGGGGTGCGAGCATGAAGTATAGGAGAACCAGTATCTAAGGAAGAATAGATCAGTTAGGAAGCTGGTAGAGCAAGAGGCATACCTCACTTAGCTTAATAGGTAACTAAAGTCACAGCATACTAGGATTTGCAGATACAATTCAAGAAAATGGAGTCATCTCATACTTACGGAAGCCACATTCACAAAATCATCATCTGAGAGAGTTTCTAGCATTTCCGAGACAGATGTTCGTATCAGTTTAAGGGTCAGCCCACTAACACTTCCACTCCTGTGAACACACAAAGGGCTCCATGTTAATCACCAGCTATGGAAGCAGCAGCACTGTAAGGAAATATACTCTATCTCCATCACGTACTTAATACTCAAGCAATGTGTTTCTTTATAAAATATCAGAAGGAAAACAGATGTTATAGAAATTATAAAGTCTTCCTTTTTTTCCTACTAATGTTAGTAGGAATGTATTTTTCATAAAAACTACCCAAATTGCCTATTAAATGATGATTGGAAAAAAAACCAACCAAAACCATTTGTTCAGTGAGAGTACAATCACTCATCCAGGAAATATATATGAAACACCATTTCTGTAAGTTGAGTTAGAACTACAGTCCACAGGGGTAAAGAGGCACCTTCGCAGTCAAGGGGCTGTTTGGCTTCCTTAAACCCACCATCATTATTAAGCTTGTAACAGCAGGACTAGTAGATTTGTGAAAAAAATGTCTTGTTTTCTACAGTAAAGCAGATTTTATCTAGGATTTAGTCTTTGTAATTTTTTCATCTCTACATAGTCTATGATCTTTTGATAACCTCTCTTGTTTGCTAGAGACTGATTCCTACTTGTACATCCCACAGGAAGAATCTGAGATATTTTGCTATGAAACAATGTAACAAGTAAAATGGATATTATATTAACACATGCATATTTCTCTTGAATATTAATCACGTTCCTTTTTAAAGTCTTAGAAATCATTATACTTATTATAGTTAATATTCTCCTATTTTGTAGCTAAATCCTTAAAAGTTGATCACTAATGACTGAATGGAAAAAACAATTCCATTTTTTCTGTTTTCATGTGTGCATTTACTATTGTTCAAAATATTAAAATTAAATATCTACGCATGAAAACATTTACTGAAAAAATTGTAAACAAATAACAAATTATCCTCCTCAGATTTCAGGACCATGCCATAATCATCCATTTTTAATACAGACATAGAAGATACCACTTTAATTTTTCAATTAAAAAATTAATGTTTGTTATTTTGGTTGCTGCCTCCACATGGCTTCTCTGTGTGGCTACTGATTCTTTTATTTTTTTCACCTTACTTTTAATTTCTTAAGCTTAGTATATTACTGTGAGCTACAAACACTCCCACATTTTCTGAATATAAGTCTGTAATACTTAATACTCACACATCAACCAGAATTAACATGTCTTTAGGAGATGCAGCCCCTTGGATATACCTGAAACAAAGAAAACATGATTTTATTTTCCTCTTGTGGCACATCCAACATTGGTATTTGTTGTATGTAAATGGTGGATCTCAAATGTTTAACTTCTGAAAATCACCAAATGAATGAGTTCCAAATGACAAGTCCCTAATTTAACCATATCCCTAGGGAACCAAAAACTCTGGGAAAGATTTGTTCAGGGGGCGCCAACATTCAAAAAGCTGAGATGGGCAGGGAGCAAGCCTTCTTCCTCCAAAGGGAGAGCTGAACCTGGACTCAACTTTATCTTATCACTGAGTCCCTTTCCCATTACTTTATCGACATTTACCTTCTCAGAACCCTGCCAGATAATGGATCAATTTGTTTTCAGACAACATGCTGCACAGTTGCTGTGTACCCAGGGCTGTGTTGAAAGAGCAGTTAAGAGTTTAGAACCTGTATCAGGATTATCTCCTATACAAAGAAAACATGGCAGCATGGTTTGCCTGTGAAAGTAAATATTCCTATAATAAATAATAATATTTCACAGCTAGCATCTTAACACTACTCACTCTATTGTATTTGTCAATGGGAACAGGAAAGGATAGGATAGTGTCTGCTTTTCATCATTGGCAGCCTAGCTTCTAAGATTTCTCCTGATACAACCCATTCCTAAACTCAAACTATGTGATTGAACAACTTATGCGTGCATTAAATAATTTGGGGCTCTACAGAGACAGAATGGGGTAATCTGTCAGTAATAATTTTGTGTCTGTTAGGATTAAACTGAGTTGGTGTTTATGTAAATTGCTATTGAATACTTAACAGAATATAAGAGCTTCAGCCCATAAAAGCTTCAGACATTTTTTGAGTCAACAATTATGCTGCTTTTAGGATTTGTGGGAACCATAGTAAAAGTTAGAAATAAACTAAATAGCCAATAATAGAGGATAACTTAATTACCACATAGTCTTCTGAATTATCTTAAATTCCCCTATTCATGAATATGTATTCAAAGACATTAATGTGCAAAAGTAGGGAACATCATACTAATATAAGTGAACTCATTTAAGAAAAATGTATCTCATCATGTATATTTTAAAAATTCAAATGAAACACAAGTAGATTTTTAATTGATAGTTATTTTCCAGTGAATCTAATGTTATCAGATTATTGGTAGTTTTTGAGTTTTTTATTAGGAGAATGAGTTCTTTAGAATTGAGGAACAAATACAGCTTTTCTCAGGAATAAAAACTATGCTATGTGAATGTAGCTAGTGGCATTGCTTACCTTGAGGCCAATGCTCATTAGTGCACTGCCAGAGGCAAACTATCCCTACACTATGTCATCTCTCTGTTAAAAAAACTTCTACTCCAAGCAAATGGAGAAGGTTTCAGTAACAATCCTCACTACCTGAAACAGATCTGGAGCGGAAATTAAACATAAAACTTAAATCAGTCTATTTTAAATGAATTTAATTAATCATCTCAACACTATATTCACTCTCCAATTGAACTAATAACTTTTATTAACTTTTAATTATTTATTTTAAAAACCACCACACTACTTTAGACAAAGAGATACTGTTACTCCTCATATTAGAAGACTCTTGTCTTTAATATTCATCTTTAATATATAATGATGAATATATACATATAAACATGTGTTTATATATATGTATATTCTTTTCACTATGTCAATTTAAAGGCTTTTGAAAAATTCATACCATGGTCGGTTTCCCTTATTTGCAATATCTAGTATATGTATGAGTCAAGCAGAAAAGGTCAGATAATGTGATGTCAGGAAAATGAACCCTTAGATATGTATTTTAATGTTTTT